TCCCCAGATGTCCCCGAGCAGCTTCATGAAAACGTTTCTTCTAAATGCCTTAAACATGATTTTATCCAAAAAAACATGAAAGCTTAAGAAGAGAAATACGATCAGACTTGTGTTTGCTTGACTTATGGAATCTCGCCATGCTTCAACTCCACCTCTCCTTGGCCCATATTCAAATGTCCCTGGCTCTAATGAGTGCAAATATATCCCACAGGTTTAAACCGGCCATTGCGAAACCTGTGACAGACGTCACTGATACTTATTTGTTTTTTCTCTGCAGCCTGAGATCTATTGAAGGTTTAGTTTGGAACATGTTTGAATGATCCCTCATCAAACAGACTGCAGGTGACGGTTCAATAACTCCACATCGATCAGCTCTTTGAGTAATTCTGTTTGTTCAGTAGGTCTGGACTGTTTGGCCAAAATACACACTTTAAAGTTGAACTCCATGCAAATGCAAAGATGCAAACTTGCTTCAAGCAAATGTTTGTTGACCTTGGCTCGCTTAGAATGGAAGTGAACCGGAAGCGAGTGTTGATTTTGTACGCTTGACAGAAAACTAAAAGGTTGAGCTAACTTCAAATACTTTTTATAATGCCGGGTGTCTTAAATTAATCCATAATAAATACATCATTGTTTATTAGTTGATTTATATTTTGTATTAATCTGAATCTGCAAAGAACCAATGTTGTCAAATAAATGTAGTGGAGTGAAAAGTAGAACATTAGCATCCAAAATGTTGTAGAGTAGAAGTATAAAGCAGCATGAAATAGAAATACTCAAGTAAAGTACAATAACTCAAGTCATAATTAATTTAACAATACTGCCAATTCATTAAAATTGACAAAAAAATGACACTATTTTGAAAGATGAAATGTGTGGGAAGACATACAAAACCAAGTGTCTAAATATCCTTTTCAGGAAATGTACACCATTCTTCTATGAAACCGCTCATAAGTATATGAACAGTATGCAACATAACCCGTCTGAGACAACACGAGCTGCTTCACAGTAATCACATGAACAACATGCA